GATAGAAGGTGGAGATGGGCGGGTGGAGTAGCACGAGGACGGTGTCGTTCACCTGAAGATGACGAAAGCGGGCGAAGGAAGGAGATGACAGAGAAGTGGTGGCAGTGGACTCCGTTACAGCTTCAAAGTTTGGTCTCGGTGGCCCAAGACATCCGACTGCAACGTTGTGGTGGCATCCGGTGGTTAACGACCTCAACAGAGGTATTGGTGCGGCGCTGTAAGTCGAAGAAGGGGGGTGGCGGCCAATACTTAGGGGTTGGCGTTTGCAAATACATTCCTTAGGGTTAGGATTATGGTGAAGGTGGCAGGTTATAAACCCCGTCCACTTTAAAACTTTTGGCATAGTTACAAGTCTAGTCCATCCCCATAGGATCTTTTCGAATTTAATCCAATATTTACCCCTTTATCCCCCCTGATTCCATAAATCTTTACAATATAATCCAAAAGTTACATTTTATCCATTGCTTCCATAATTCCTTTCATATTGAGTCCTAATTATTACCAAGCAGTCCATGTCTTCATAATTATTTGCAACCTAAATCCGGATTTTACACTTTAACTCCCACCTTCTAAAATTATGACAATTAGCTCCTCAAGACCAACACCTTACTATATATAATTAATGATTTTTAGGGTTCCTATACATTCATTAATTTATTTTTAAAAAAAAGGTGTTATAATTTTTGATACGATTCATTTGTTATTCATATTTAAATAATTCATATGTTAAAAAAACGAAGTGTTTTGAAAATTTGAACTCCTTATTCATATAAGAATAACAAATGAGATGTAACAAAATTATGATAAATGTGTTCTTCGTACATTAATATAACTTGTGGGGAAAGTTAATACACATTTTATTCATATGTGAATATAACATGTGACGAGAGTTGATGCAAGTAGTAAAGAGTTTATTATATGTTATATTCATATATGAATCATATTTAATCTGTAAAAAAAATTAATCATATTTTTTATTCATAAGTGAATAACGAATGTATTATACTAAAAATCTGATGCATTTTTATTCACTTATAAATAACGATAGCTGAAAATACAAAAATAAAAAATAAAAAAATTTATTTTATCTTAAAACTATATCGATATGGATGTCTATTTGTAGAGAATAAAAAATCATGAATTTTGATATATTTAAAATTATTTTTCGATAAAAATAGTTTTTTAAAAATTAAAAAAAACAAAAAACTATGTTTTTTGTATATATTAAGGTAATGATTAACATAGTTTAAGGAAACATTTTTTTGTTGGAAAACACATGTGTATTCATTTTCCATTTCTGCTGGTACGACCGGGGTTTTTGCGGCAAAATAAATGACTGACTGAGAATAATTCTCATATTTTCAACATTTTTTATTTTTCAATTGAACTTCTCTCTCTCTCTCTCTCTCTCTCTCTCTCTATATATATATATATATATATATATATATATATATATATATATATATATATATATATATATATATTTATGTTCGGGTTTATTTGAGATCATACTAATTTTGTGAGACCGTGAGACCAAATCTAAAAATAATTTTAAAATGAAAAATAAAAGAAAAAATTCAAAAATATTTTTTTTTTTAATTATTATTTTCGGAACTTTAATTACCTAAAAAAATAAAATAAATAAATAAATAAGTTACTGCTTTTTTTAAATACGTGAAATATTCTAATAGAATATTACACTGTAAATATTCTAGGAAGAATTTCATATATACCCTTCTTAAACATCAAAATATCATATTTACCCAACTTAATTTCTAAATATCATATTTACCCTTCATTAAAATACTAAATATCATATTTACCCTTCATAGAATTTCAAAATATCATATATGTCCTTTTTAAACATCAAAAATATCATATATGCCCTTCTTTAATATCAAAATATCGTATATGTATTATTTGAACATCAAAATATCAATGATAATATCTAAAATATCATCCATCTACAACATGATAATAACCAACAATACCAAAAACTAAACAATTAAAATATAAATTTCATAGAGAGGGTTGAATGTGAATATTTTTGTTTGTCAAGAGAATGACATTCCAATAATTTAGAATTTCACATTCCATTATCATAGATGTAAGGATAACATGGTTAAAATCTTTAATTATTATAATAATTCTACGGTATAAAAAATAATTATAACATATTAAAAACATTATAAAAATGATTTGGGCAAATATGATATTTTGAAAGTTTATTAAGGGTAAATATGATATTGAGAAATTAAACTGGGCAAATATGATATTTACAAGTTTAAGAGGAGTATATATGAAATTATCCCAATATTCTAATATGATTTTTAGAATTTTAAAATATTCTACTAAATTTGTCAAATATATAAAATATTTTAATATTCTACTAGAATATATAAAAAAAAAATGTATTTTTATTTTATGTATGTAAAGCAAAACAAAGCAAAGCAAGGCCATACAAAACAAAACCAAGCCATGTAAAGCAAAGCAGGGCTGCGAAATGTAACTTAAGTCCTTCTCAACTGCATGACAAGAGTCTGTCTAGGCCGTGCAATTGGGTTCATCTTGTTGGCTCATTTTACATTTCTTACAATCATTTTGATTGTCAAGGATCAATCTTCTTTTTAAACCTTATAATAATAGTAATAATAATTTAATTTATTATTTGTTATAACTTAACATTTATTTCTCAATATTATATATGGGCTTGCTTGTTTTTGTTAACAATAAAATAATTAATTGTGTCAATAACTGTTTCTTTTGGTTAGCAATCAAATAATTATGGAAAAAGGAATTTTGTTGGATTTTGTTACTTGTCACTTCTGCGGGGAAATAAAGGAATCGGTTGAGCATATTTTTACATATTGCTCGTTCTCAAAGAAGATATGGTCTTGGTTTAATAATTTGAGTGGCTTACTGTCTTGCATTCCCAATAATTATGATGAGCTTAAAAAAACTGTTTTGATTTCCTCGGGCATTAATAAGAAGAGACTGAAGCTGACTGAAGCTCAGATTAATATTAATATACTCAGTGTTGTGGAGTATATGGAGAACTCACAATGACTTTGTTTTTAAGAAGAAAAGATATTCGCATCTCAAGACGATAGATGATATTCAAATCCTTGCTTTCAATTGGATTAAGAATAGATTGAAGTTTAATTCTATCTGGTGGTTTAATTGGTCTATTTCTCCTTTAAGCACTTGTAATTTGTAATTCATTTTTTTGCTAGCCTCTTGCTCGTCTTTAATGCATTTGCCATTAAAAAAAAAAAAAAAAGCAATCAAATAATTATATGGGTCGATAACTACTTCTTTTGGTAAACAATCAAATAATTAATTGTTTCAATAACTTATTCCGTCATTGGACATATATCCAATAGTATAAAGAGCTTTTAAGACTGTACACGAGACCATATATGCTTTATAGCAACTGAAGCGTGCTGTACTATTCCAAGCAGGTCTTTCCTTGTCTAGTGAAGGCATGTACTGTCTGTATAAGGGAATCATATGCTGTACCATACGCATCAGAGAGTATCTTTACAGCAATGATTTTCAAAAGGGTTTTAGCTCAAAATTCCATCCATCTTGATTTTTTATTTCTATATAACTATTCCAGTTTCGATTTGGTTCTATTACAAGCCATTGAAACAAATGTTTTAACATCTTATGACACCATTAATCCTTTTTATTAGCTAGATTGGTTAAATTTTCACAAAAGTTCCAAGCTAAAACCATTATTCATTGCTCCCAATGTTGAAAAATCTCAAAAACTCTCTAAAACCCCAAGTGTTCAAGAGCTTCGGTTTATACCCATGATTATTCATTTAATTAAATTCTAATTGGCACTATACTTGGAAATGAATTTTCATAACTAATTGGATTAACCTTAAGTATTATGGCATCATCCAAAATGTAATTCGACGTTCATAAGTATTTCTTACTAAAAAACAACGCATAAAACTAAATTATTACCACCAAACCCTGAAACTTCGCCATTAAATGATGGTGGTAGCCCGAAGCTAAATGAAAAGTGAAAACACTTTTTAAGGTGATCATCTACATCTATCCGAAAATTTAGACACCATGACAAGGTTTTTACCACATATATATCCGTAAACTGGACCACTGGTCAAATTTAGTAGGGAAAGTTGGGAAGTGGTCATAGCCAGGTGATTAGGAGGAATCACTAGAATAGAAAGGAAATGGGAATGGGATTACAAAAATGATGAGAAAAACTAAAAAGTAAAGATGCTTTTGTCTCTCCACTAATGATAGCTAAGATGTAAACTCATTCCACCCCCACTATATGTGTTTACAAAGCAAACATGTTCCACACTCTTTGGCCGATTATTAAAAATATCCATGCTTTTAACTTTATTTGGTTTACCTTTAGAAGCATGGGCTTTATTTTTAAGATTAGATAAAGGTTAGACTAAGCAACACTTTTAAGATTAGATAAGCAACACATTCTCATTCTTTTCCTATTGTATACAACTTTTTCTTTTAACTTTGTGCAAAAAGAAATAGTAGCTTAGAACATTTCCAACGAAATTTTTTTATAACTAATTATTATTTAATCAACCACTCAATATCATTCTTATGTAATAATATCATTGTTATTACATAAGTATCACTAGAGGTATTACCGACGACACAGGTGTAGCCGGTAAAGACCCTATTTGTTGCCATTTTACCTAAGCGGCGATATGTTGCCGCTAATAATCCGTCGCAAAAGCACAATACTCTCAGGTATTGTTGTCGCCCGTAATATATGTCGCTGATGAGTCGGTATTAGCATTCACCGGCACAAGGTCGGTCGCCAAAACAATAAATCGTTGGAATTAGGTGTCACCAGAAATACGCCATGTCCACAGTATTATTATCGTCAGTAATGCTCATACTTTTTTTTGTAAATTTGCTAAAATATATTAACAAAAATACATAAATTACATAAATTTTAAAATCTACATCGTAAACACAAAATACTTAATAGAAGTCCATGATATACTTAATAAAAATATGACGATAAAATATTTAGTCATTAACAAACGTACAACATAATAAACATAAAATAAATAATCCACATCATCGTCTTCAGGTCCATCATTCTCCTCGTCATGACCCCTAATATCCCCGCCATCTCAACCCCCACCTTTTATTGACATCGAATAAAACCACTTAAAAAATATTTTGCTATATGTCGGGTTTTTTATAATAATATCAACATGAACATCCACCTACAAAATAAATATGAACATTAGTAATAGGAATTGTCAACATAGTAAGTTAGAAAACTATCAATATTTACAAACCAAACTATATAACAAACTTTCTATTAAATTTCAAATTTCCAATTACCAAAAATACCAAACTAAATATGCATACACACTTACCAATGATATCAAAATACCAAACTAACAACTTATCAAAATATCACACTACATAGCAAACTACCAATTAACAAAGATATCAAACTAACATAAACTAAAATACCAAAGTAAGAAGATAAATTGGTTTATGTTACGTTTACCTCCATTGGTTGTGGTTGTGAGGACTCTCCCTCACAATAGTTTGAGGTTCTATTGGAAGGCTTATGCTCAATCCCTTTGATATGTCCTTGTCGAGCAACTAACACTTTTCCGAATAACTACATCTCAACCGATATTGTTAGGTTAGTTCCTTCGAGTAAACATTGTGTTTGCATTTCTAGCTCCCATTATATGGCTTTCTGTATGTTCCAAAGATTATATATATATATATATATATATATATATATATATATATATATATATATATATATATATATATATATATATATATATATATATATAGAGAGAGAGAGAGAGAGAGAGCGAGAGAGAGAGAGAGAGCCAGAGAGAGAGAAGAAAATTATACTTTTAATAACCACTTACATATTGTGGCTCGTATTCCAGGCTATCAAAATTCTCATTTCTATCTATATGAGCTTTATATATATAGCAACCTACCTTTTTTGTAACATGTATTGTTGTACGTGGTTAACCCCTCATGGTTAGATACTTTTTGTTGTTGCCGATTTACTATGTTTGCAATTGACCGCTTTTTATGTTTCTCACTTCAAAAAAATTGAATAACATTCTCCTAGTTTGTAGGATTCATGTCAAGCGGTGGTGTTGTCCTTACTTCCTCAAGATTCAGCTCCCCTCCCTTTCGCTTAAAATACTTTTTGGCATCGGCTTTTTTTGTCTTTGTAACATTTAGTAAATATCGCATTAATGTTTTTCCATAACTTAACATGCTGTCGATCCCGGGAAAGCTCATGAAGATGAAAATTGTGTTGTAAATAAAAACAAATCAATTAATTAGAAACAAATTAGAAATAAACATATAAAATTTACATATAGGAAAATTTTAACTTCAGATGTTCAATTAAGACATTCTTTTGTTCAGGGTGTACATCTTTCCAACTATATTTATCAAAAGCAATGTCCCACCACTAATATATGTCAGTCTCACGAACTAAGCAATCATTGTTGTTACCGAGCGGTAAAAATGTACATTCTCTATCAAACTCATGCAGTTTATATATATATATATATATATATATATATATATATATATATATATATATATATATATATATATATATATATATCAAACGAATTTGAGATTAAATGTAAATACAAGAATGAATTCCCAAAAAAAATATATACTTAAATGTGATATACATAGTAGAATTTAAACTCAAAAGTATGGGTATTGAGGCCTACAAGCAGTGTCTTATGACAAAATTTCATTATAGGGATCTATCTTAAGGATACAACAATCTGATCTACATTGAATATATCTTGATTGGATCGATTATGTCAAAATTCTCCATGCTTCCTTGATTTCCCATATAAAAAAGAGAAAGAGAGTGGTGTTCTGTGTACTACAATAAATCATTAATCTATCAATTGATCATCTTTATATAAACTGTCAAATAGCAGTTAAAACTGCTAACCATCATACATGTTAAAAATCGAAATTAACTGTTACTTAAATATCAATAAGTTAATTAATCAATTAATAGATTTTTATAATTAATAAATCAATTTAGAAATTTTGTTAATAAAAAATAAATTAATTAGTCAATAAAATCCCAAAAGCCCTAAGACCTAAGGCCAATATTTTGACCATTAATCATCCTTATTAACCCGTCTAACCCAAGACTAAATTAATGGTCTAATACCATAATTCTAGCCCAAATTCCTTTTTTGTCTCACTTTATCCATTTAATTATATGTAGAGACAAAACCTTATAAAGCTATTAAAGTTTCTTACTTTCTTCTATGTTGGACAATGCTTTTTTTCCTAGTAAAGCTCCAACATTACCCCATATTTTTTATTCAAACTGCAACAATACCTCATATTTGAATAGAAAATAAGAAAATTTTATATTCAAATCAGGGAAATAAGATATGACATGGATCTGAAAAGATATTGTAAAACTTGAACATTTCATAGTAAATACTATTTGCATCTACTTTGTGGGTAGTGAACTAGCGTCTTGAACTAACCCACTTTGTATAGTTGAATTTAGACACGAAGCATGAAACACATAAAATCTAAACATAGATTATTTATTACCATTTTGTTCATTTCGGTTGTGAGTAATCCTTTCTTCATGAGACTTTTAGAGAGCTTAGTCATATCACCTTCCAAAGATGTGACCTCACATCCATCTCAAATATGTAATGTGAGAACTTATTGATTTGATGCATAGGGACAAGTTTTGAAAACTCAAATATTGATTTAATGCTTAAGATCAATGTTTGCTTGCTAATGAATGTTCTAGTCAAATCTGGATACACCAGTCAAGTCTGAGTTAATGTATTCAACAAATATTCAAGCCATAAATGAAGAATAAGAATTTAAGATCAAAGTAAAGTTAATAAATGAAGGACAAATAGAATGTTGTAAAGAACAAGAGAGTGAAGTAAATGAAATATTGCTAAAAAGTTTAAACAATTCATCACTTAGATTTGCATTAAAAGCTCCTATAAATAGGAGAGCATGATACAAGTTACAAACAGGGATACATACATAGGACCGAATAAAGAAGATATTTCTAACATTCTGATTGTCCAAGTTGACAAACAGACTAAGTCATATGAAATGTCTAATCATGCTAAGTGACAAAACTAATTAATACACAATGAAAAAGGTACTGATTCGGAAACACAAACATTCCGGTCCTAACATTCATTCCAGAATACCTTCTACTCCTCTGCTCCGGACTTGGCTTGAATTCCGGAATCCAACTGAATCCACACCAACTTATCACTTCAGAATCTTGAATGACTTTGGATCTTCAAAAAGGATTGAGATTGCTAGAGGTTCACTTTTAGGTTCCAACAATCTCCCCTTAAGTGAACTTAGCAATCTGGTTAGCTTCAACTTGATTCTTCCTTGATGAAAGTGTAAGCACGATATAACCAATCTCTGACTTCGATATACCATTTTAATTCCCTTATAAAATTTTCATTGACAGGCTCAGGGGCTTCAGACATGGATGCTCGACTGATGAACTTGTTGAGGGCTCTTGTTGGAACTAGGTGTTTATCAAGGACTCAGAAGAAGTCCTTCTTGTTTGTCTTTCTGGTTTTGTAAACAAAACCTAGAACCGGATCATCAATGGGACCTTCTGCTAGCAATTCGACTTTTGGCAACACGTATTCAATTTTGCCAATGAAATCTTGGGTTCCATACAAGCTTGGTAACTCTTAGTCGCATCAACAAAATTCTACGACATAGTCCTTGAGAAAGTTTATGGCAGCATGATAAGCACCCATACTGATATCATCGTTTTGGAGGGTCTGAAAGTGTGCTTATCTTTCGAATTGATAGTTGCGAGGTGAGTTATCCTCACTATATCAACAGGGTCTAAGGTGCCAAGGCCGACCCTTTATCGGATTTGTATTCGAGTATTTGCTTGATATGCTTATTGATCTGCTAGATCTGCATCCTTGTAGTTAGGATGATGTCATGTTAGTGATCGGTTAGGTCGGTATCCTTGTTATATGATGGTTGCTATGCTAGTGATCTGTTAGATCGGTATGATTATTTGTTATATACATGCTAGCGTATGATATTTATGTGCACATGATTGTTTGATTGGTATGGGGGTTGGGTTGAGGCGGGTCTTGCTTCGTGTTGTAGGCCAACATACCTAGGGCGGATCGGATAGACTGCAAGCCCAAGAGGGCACCTAATCCGGCCAAAGGCCCGATGAGCGGTCCGGATAGGCGAAAGGCCCCGAGAGAGCGGTCCAAGCGTACCGAGGCTTGGAGAATGGGCCAGATAGACTAAAGGCCCGGTGTGGTCGGTCTAGTCATATTGTAGACTCAGAGAGTGGACCAGGTGGACTAAAGGACCGGTGTGGGCAGACCAGTTACACTATAGACTCGAGATGCATGGCTGTTCTGTTGCTTATATGTTTATATGATATGGTTATCGGTATGGTGTTGATATTTTGGGGTAACTCACTAAGCTTTCGGGCTTACAGTTTCAATTTATTGTTTCAGGTTCAGCGGATGGCCGCGGAAGGCGAAGGCGTGACCGTACACTTCCTCGATTGGTGATCATGATTTCTAGGAAACTCTGATGTTTAAACTATTTTGAAAACAAATTGTAATAACTAAATGCTTTTAAATGATTTAAAAAGTTTTAAATTGGTTCGAATTTTATGGATGTTACACTTAATCCCATTTTTTTCCATTAAGCACTTAACGTTTAAACCCTAAGTCCAAACCACAAATCTGAGTCCCAAATAACGTCTAAACCTATAAAGTCATTGACTTGGTGACTTTGCATGCCCCAAACAGACCAAATAGCATTCTACTTTCATGGAAATGGCTCAAACTCCAACATTGATGATCTTAAACTCTAAATGTGCCAACTTTATGGACCTTAAGCCTCGGAAACACTAAGAGGGGCAAGTCAAAGCTCCTGGAATGAAGTTAAGACCACTAGATCTCATCATTGGGACCAAAATGAACTAAAACTCACAAATAAGAGATCTAAGATATCAATGATCAAGTTTAGAGCTTTATACCTTCATCAAGATGACAATAAGTCACATAAGCCAGATCCATAAGCTTCTCCTTGATCCCCATCTTTGCATCTAACTCCACCTTCTTGAAAATGGACCAAACACTCCAAAAATGGTCTCCAAAAGTTCAAAATACCACCATGAGTGATTAAGGACGATTTTTAGGGTTTTAGAGGGTGAGGGCTGACTTAGAATGAAGAAGGAGGCTTAACATTATGCTTATATATGGTACAAGTCATGAAATTAGGGTTTTTCTCTGAAGGGAGTACGCCCCGCGTACCCATAAGCCATCTGTGACCATGCAACCCTCTACGCCTTGTGTTCCTCCTAGTTATGCCTCGCGTAACTGTTTTTCCTAGGTATGCCTTGCATACCACCTTGGTACACCTCGCATACTAGGATTTTTCCCAAAACCCTAATTTTCCTTAAAGGCATAACTTACTCGATACAACTTCGATTCCAACCATTGATATATCCATAGAAAGGTATCGAGACGCTCAAGAATATTATCAATTCCTGGCAGCCATAACATATCTCGAGCTAAAATCCTTTTTCCATAAAAGTCTGAGCTGATAAATTACTGAAATACCCTTTGATCCAAAAATTCAACCGGAATACCCGAGCAATCCAAGGTACATTATCCAACTTCATCTGGGTCCGGAACCCAATCCCTCGGGTATACGTAGCTTGATAGAACTTAATCCTTTGATCACCTATTCAAAATGGGAGCAATTTGAAACAGGATGTTACATGGATTGATGAATAACAAATATGAATCTTATGTTTATAATAAGGTTAGTGGGAGAGAGACTATATTCAATGGTAATCTGAGAAATCATCGGGAAACACCTCGAGAAAAGAGAGACATTACTGAGAAATAAATCACACTATGAGAGAGAAAGAGAGAGGGGGAGAGAGAGAGAGAGAGAGAGAGAGAGAGAGTAATAGATCATTATTGAGAATTGATTATTATTAAAGCTAATAAAAGAGTATGAGAATACCACTATCTGTCGTAATTTATTTGTTACATATTATTGATGATTACTTGATTGCGATATATGTGATTTATGTGATTATTTTATTGTAGTTTTTATCCACTAAGCCATGAGGCTTACGTTTCTATGATATTTTTTTTGCAGGTAGATTATTGTGACACCCGTTTCGATCATGTATTTGAGGTCAATACGATCCTTGTGATAATTTCTTGTATACCAGAGTGTCCGTGTACACCACAGTTATTTATAAATTTTAAATAAGAAATGAAAATTTTGGGGTATAGCTGGTATGAAAACGTGGGTATTACATAAGGAGAGATTAATTGTGTTTATGATTTACTTATTATATAATCTAGTAGATCCTTATGGAATTAGGAGCTTGAATGATGATTCCAATGGAATCCATCATTAGAATGGAATGAAAGGATTTCTAAATTAAGTTATGTCTCAAATTAGTTATTATACAATCAAATGATAAGTGTGAAACTATAATATTTAAGAAGATTTGAAAATGGATTAAACAATGGTCAAGCTCACAATCACCATAATTTAATCATCTCAAATTGTTCAGATTGGAATTACATAAAGGAGGAATAGAATTATGTAATGAGAGTCGGAATTGGAAGGGATTCCCTTACGTTAAAAATAAAAAAAATAAATAAATAAATAAATAAATAAAAAAAAAACCAACAACCTTTCCCCTTTGGAATGAGAAACAAGGTGGGATCATATTTGGTGAATATTGCTCCATTTTATTCTTTGGTGACAACCAAACATGGATTTATTTTTTCAGCATAATTCTTCATTTCATTTTTTATTCGATGACTGCATACCAAACGGTAGTTATTATATTTATATAACTCCATGAAAAATAAAATTTAAATTTAAATTATTTAAAAAAAAAAAAAAAAAAAAAAAAAAAAAAAAAAAAAAAGCATTCTTCACCGAATCATATACCTTGAGGAATATGCTCATTGAGTGTATGAGAAATGCATCATTTCATTCCTTCATGACAACCAAACAAATTTTTTTCATTACACCCTAATGTTGCATTCAATTCTTTTTTGAATTACATACCAACCACTACCTAAGTAATATTGATAAAAACAATACTTCGAAACGCATGAACTTAGACATACAAAACGTAATCGATAACCTACTAATAAAAACACGTCGTTTGGTGAACTCAATTAATAGATATATAACCTCTACACACATGTATATACAATATACTTCACGCCAAATTAGTGAGTCCCAATTTTAGAAAAAACATCGGAGAAGAAACACTAAATCATATAGTGTGATATCTTGTGGAACTTGAAAAAACAAATTGACTTCACATCTTCCAGAGCAACAATACACATATCCAGACAAAAACCTCTTTCACCACATGTACATCTAGCATCAAGACTAGTTCTCCAATATTCTCGATTTCACCACTCGAATAATGTCTAGTTGTCCACCCACAATATAAAGACGTTATAGTTGACCCATTCATATATCACTTGCAATAACCTCAATGGCTCCTCCTAACAAGCTTACACTTCCACTTACACCCATATGTTTGCTAGTATACTTATGGTGTTTTGGGGTGTTTATGACGTTAGCCTTGGGTTCAAAGGCTAGACATTTCAAATGGGAAGTCGATTACATGTACGCTACACCCGATTGCTTAGAAAACGTGGTCATGGGCATCAATGGTCAGTTCCCTGGCCCAACCATCAAAGCTCGAGCCGGTGACACTGTTGTTGTCCATCTTACAAACAAACTCCATACCGAGGGTGTCGTTATTCATTGGCATGGTATTCGACAGGTTAAATTAATTAAAACTGTTCATTTACTTGTTCATTAAATGCATATATACGTTTCTTTTCAGTCATATGTACCTCATACATATGCACATATCAAACATATAATTGTAAATTGATTTTTAATTTTTTTTATAATTAGTTTGGAACACCATGGGCTGATGGAACTGCATCCATATCACAATGTGCCATAAACCCTGGAGAGACATTTGTGTACAGGTTCAAGGTTGATAAGGTATGTATATCATATGTGTGGTATATCAAAATCGTTTGTTTTAATGATATATATGATAGAATGGAATTGTATTGATTGGGTGCAGGCGGGTACATACTTTTACCATGGACATTACGGGATGCAAAGATCAGCGGGATTGTACGGATTGTTGATAGTGGACGTTGAGGAGGGAAAGAAGGAAAGTTTTCATTATGATGGGGAGTTTAACTTGTTGTTAAGTGATTGGTGGCATAAAGGTGCTCATGAACAAGAGGTTGATCTTTCGTCAAATCCTATGCGTTGGATCGGTGAACCCCAGGTAATGTCAATCTATGAACTTGCTCATAAAGTCATGTCTTAAAGATCCATATGAGATTAACCACAAGATGCACAATTCATATTGGAGTTAATTGAAACTTGCTTATATCAAATGCTAAGACATTGAATCTTTGATCATTTATGTAGTTTTAACTTTGTGTTAAATTTCTGTTGTGTAAAGAATATTGCTATATATATTTAAACAAGATAAAATTCTTATTAAGTGTTTGATGGGACGGATTGCTATAAAGAAACTCAAATGCAATGTTGCATGCTTGTCAGATTCCATTTCATGCAGCTTTTTATTCACGCAAAGGGAAAAAGTGAAAGCAACATGGATGATGGATGGATTACACGTTGGAATGGTCAAAATAAGTGAGTTAGTAGGTAGGAATTAGGATGATGGGAAAAAAACAATGCATAACTAATTGCTTATTAGTGTTTATTTCTTTATGAAGAGGGCAAGATTTATAAAATAATTAGAAGTTTTATATTATCTTTTTTAAATAATTCTACTAAATTAATTCTGTATTTATGTGTTTAGACAAAGAAACTTATATATGTTTTGCATTTCATTTTGAAGAGTTTGTTAATAAATGGAAGAGGACAATATAATTGCACATTAGCACCAGCGCATAATAGCAATGGCTCAAGTCTACCAGTGTGCAAATTTAGAGGAAATGAACAGTGCGCACCAAACATCTTACATGTGGAGCCAAACAAGACATATAGGCTGAGAGTGGCCAGCACTACTGCTTTAGCCTCACTCAACCTTGCCATTGGGGTAGGTCCATTAGTCCATATATTATCATATCATATTTTATTTTATAAACAAATAAAAAATACTTTTTATCTTTAAAATAACTAAACTTTATGCCATACCAAATCCCTTTTCACCTTTTTCTTCCATGTGTGTAACACCTTTTAACTCATATAAAGCAGTCAAACTAAAACTATCTATAAATTTGTTGAACCATCTATAAATAGTTTGGTTTATATATATATATATATATATATATATATATATATATATATATATATATATATTTTGACATATGCTTTTCAACAAATATAAAAATACATCTACTTATGAATTATTATTATTATTTTTTTTGACAGAACCACAAGATGGTGATGGTGGAAGCAGACGGGAATTATCTACAACCATTTTCGGTTAATGACTTTGACATATACTCTGGTGAAACATATTCAGTCATATTCCGTACAGACCAAAATCTTTCCAATAACTATTGGATCTCGGTGGGTGTGAGAGGAAGAGAACCAAAAACCCCTCAAGGTTTAGCAATATTACACTATAAGTCCACCACTTCATCAAAACTTCCCAATCTTCCTCCTCCCAAGACCCCACAATGGAACGACTACACCCGTAGCAAATCATTCGCTAACAAAATTCTAGCCTTTTCAGGGTCACCACGACCTCCAACCAATTACACTCGTCGAATCTTCCTCCTCAATACCCAAAATCGTATCAATGGTTATACCAGATGGGCCATTAACAATGTGTCACTAAACCTACCCTCAACCCCTTACTTAGGGTCAATAAAACATGGTTTGACTAGTGCGTTTGACCAAAAAAGTCCACCCGAGACCTTCGTTAACACATATGATATCACTATGCCCCCATCAAACCCCAATGCGACATATGGGAATGGGGTTTATAAGCTAGAATTTGGCAAGACTATTGATGTGATACTACAAAATGCGAATGCTCTAAATGCGAATGTGAGTGAGATACACCCATGGCATCTTCATGGGCATGACTTTTGGATATTAGGATATGGAGAGGGGAAATTCTCCAAGAAAGATGAAAAGAAACTCAACTTGCAAAACCCACCATTGAGAAATACAGTTGTTATATTTCCTTATGGATGGACAGCGTTAAGATTTGTTACTGATAATCCAGGTGTATGGGCGTTTCATTGTCATATAGAGCCTCATTTGCATATGGGCATGGGTGTGATTTTCGCCTCAGGGGTTCATTTAGTGGGGAAGATACCGGAAGAAGCTCTTTCTTGTGGTTTGACAGGTAAGCTGCTAAGAAGCAATAACCACAATTAAAGGGGGTAATTATTTAACCCCTAAATTTTTGAGGGGTTGTTTCTTGTTTAATGATATATGTGTGGGGTAAAATTGCATTTTTGTAAACTTTGAGGATTTGTTGAATGAACCCTAAAACTGCTTATAGTTGATTTTTGTAAACATGGGTGTTTTAATGGAGATGTTACATAATGGTATTGGTAACGAGTGAATGAGCTAAAGCCGAATATGGTACGTAAAATTGCAAAGGCAGAAATTTTGTAAAAGAATGAACTATAAATATGTAAGTTTGGAGTCGAATGATCATTCATATTATTATTTTTGTTCATCTAAACTGTTAACTTGTTGATTCAAATTATCATGCTCGTTTGGAACATTAACCAGATTGTTTAATAAATTTATCCGATTATATTAAACTTTCAATCATTTTATTGTTTCTTTCTTTAAATATTTTTTGGAAACATTGTAATATTTATGATTCTGGTAGCAGTGAACGAAAATATATAGTAATAAAATTTATAAGGTGCATGGTGCTTCTTGTGTAATTGCATCAATGGAAGTCTGTTGTGTGATTGTTGCACAAAAAATAAATAAATAAATATTATCTAGAAAAGAAAATAAATGAATTTTCAGAAATAAAAAATCCCAAATATGAATCAACAATAATAAATCCATTGTCATGGAAAAAAAAAAAAAAAAAAAAAAAAAAAAAAAAAAAAAAAAAAAACTTAAACATATGAACAATCAATTTTTAGTCTAGAAATCCAAATAAACTCAAAATTTGTTTAAGACTGCAAAAAAATAAACTAATCAATCATGCAGAATAGGATTTCCTAATTTTATTATAGTAACACAAATGAACAAGTAATATAAGTCGACATTGCATCCGCCTTGATTTGCTTTTATTTTTTTGGAGAGTAGGGAATTTTTTATGCAGCGATTCAACAAATAATAAAAGTCGCAAGCGTCCGACACCATTAATCTCGTCGAGAGTGTATTCCTCTATCAAATTGGGCCTCTTTTTTGGGCTACTAACATGCTTAGTTTATTTTCCTGGATAATAACTATGTATTATATAGCCCCTAAAATTTTTGGGTATTGGATTTAAATTTTGCCCATGGTTTGGCTTTAGGCCAGCTATGCTTAAATAAAAATAAAATAAAATAAAATAAAAATAAATAAACCCATAGTCACTCAACCCAAATCCTTATGTGACATTTGTTGAGGGTATATTTGGGATAATTTCAAAGGATTTAATAATTTGGTTAGAAATTTAGAATGATATTCCTTCTGTCGCAAATTAAATGTTTATTTTTTATTTTTTTAAGTCTTTTTTCTTAAATTTCCACCTTAAATATTTTTATTTGTATTATAAATTACCTGATGAAACTTATACCAATGAAAAGACATTTAAAATACAATCAATTCACATATTTTATATCAAGTATTATCTATAAAAATATACATATTTAAAGTTACAGTTGAAAAACAAAAACTTGAAAAATCAAATATAGATAATTAATTTGGGACAAATGTAGTAATATGAATAGTTTTCCAACATAACTAGCTAGCTTATAAGATATCGGTCCTCCAAACATGACAATCCAAAAGTTTCAAAAAATAATTTATAAGTTAGATATGATATGTCATAATATATCGTAACTAAGTGATAATAAGTGTAATTGCTACCCTTCACTTTTCCATCATTTATTTAGATGTAACATTGACCCTATTTTACATTTTATAGATAACTAGTAAAGAGACTAGTGTGTTGCACGCGTTAGATTTTTTTTTTGATGTTTAGTGTGGTAGATTTTTCAAACTATGATGTCCTAATAATAAATAAAATGAAAGTATAATAGTATAGTAGCCTGAGATTTAGATGTAAAGATCGATTTTACATTCATACATGATGTCAGGATTTCTATATGATTATTAGAAAGCTTATAAGCAAACTTGAAGGTTTTCCGGTGGAAAAAAAAAACGATTTCAATTAATACATTCTTTGTTTGCCAAAATACACTGGGGGCGGTATGAAATTTCATTTTTGGTGTTATCATGGAAGTGCAACTTCCATCCAAAAACATGTAGAGGCCGCTACGGAGGAGTTTTGGCTCTCGTTGAACTATACTTGGTTGTAGTGGTTACCAAACATGTTGAAATCTTAAATTATAAAACTAAAACAAAGAAGGTTAAAAAAGAAACAACTCTCTGATCATCCATTATGTAGAAATATGAAAAAGAAATAAGAAACAACATAAATGAGAGGTATAATAACATTTGATTAAAAGATACCAAATATTTTCCTATATTGTCAGAAATTTATAAAAACCCATTTTAAAGATTTTCATTTTGAATCCGACAACCTCGAGTTATGATGGGTTTTGTTCATAAGAACATCTTATGTGCTCATACAAACCCTAATGCTCGGATCTAGGGTTCTCTATTGTACATGCAATTCATCCAAGACTATAATCCATAATTCTAGCATATGATCATCGATATTAACATAATAATGGGTTTAAGATATTACCTTGATTGTTATGTAGCAATAACAATCACAATTCCTCCTTGTAATGACTTTAGAAAGCTTAGAGTCACAAATGTCACTCCTCTAATGGTTCACAAACACCAAGAGCAAGAGGATGAAGAACAAGGAGAGTGGAGGTTACCCAAAATCATCCAAAACCCTAGAGGATCTCATCACCACGTTTTTGGGGGTTAAGGGTGCTATTTATACATGTAGGCTATTAGGGTTTTAAACTATGAAACCCTAATCTAACTGCTTAAGCCCTAAGCAGTCCATGGATTCCTTTGGTATATCTCTTGGACGATTTCTAATGGGCTTCCCCATAGAATTCATCCAACTTATATATCATTAAGTAATCCATAGCCCAAATGTAATTATCTTATAATTACAGTTCCAGTCCCTTAAGTTTAATTAATCTCTTTTAGCCATAAAATTAATTATCAATTAATTCTTGACTAATATTAATTAAACAATATGATTTCTCCTTTAATATATTATTCTCATAATATATTAATAAATCATAATTAATCCTTTATCTCCAAAATTCATCCTATTAAGTTGTTTTGGTGAAGGCAACCTAAAAGGACCATGCACCATCGGGTCAAGTACATACCAAAATAGTTATGGACTTAAACACTAATCCAACAGTCTCCCACTTGGATAAGTCTAATAATTATTCTGCGTATGACTTCAGATCCTGATCTGCAATTGTAGCTTTCTAAAGCCGCTATCAACTCTGATCTTATTAGATATGCGTGTCCTTTAGATAAGGGATCATATATTCCTCCATTCTAGATATCGTATAGATATACGACATGAATTCTAATCATTCTCTCTATACTATTTCCCGACTTCCGATTTATGACGACTAACTAATTGAACAAATCAAATTAGCCCAAGCCCGACCGAGCATTTATGTTTGTCATCACTAAATCATCGAGGGGCCCAAAGATATCGCTTTTATCATACTTTGGATAAAAGGAACGGATAAACTTTGACTCAATGTTCGCTAGCACTCACTTACCGAATCACACGCAACAATATGTTTTATGACACCAAGTTACTGGTGTGTTTACATATTATCAACCTGCAACCGATTTGTAAGATACAACTCACACATCTCGGTTTCAAGAATATAAGATATTATCATCTCACCAATCACTCGTGATGAAATCCATGAAGTGATCCAAGTGAGCGTGGGTTTAATCCAATGCTCAAATCATATTCATAAGCACTCATGAACGTTGCAGCAACCATTTACTTATGTCTAATACTCTTTAGACAATCCACATTGTAGCACCTGGTTCCTGGTACGTAAATCTTATTGAGTATTTTCCTTCTTTTTAGCCTTGGACTCGGCGAGTCATAGGTCCGACTCGCCGAGTAAGGACGGGACCAGAGACATGTTTAAGTTGGCGACTCGGCGAGTCCATATTCTGGACTCGGCGAGTCACCGCTGTTGGATGAAACCCTAAGTTTCAGGGGTTTGCACCCTATTTAAGCAACACATCCGCCCCAGGCCAGCCCCCATTCACCCCCCAGAGCTCCCAACCCTCGTTTAAGCTTGTTCTTTGAAGAGTTGAAGCATTTGTTGTGTGCTCTTGAAGGTTTTGAAGAAAAAGGGAAGTGGATCCAGAAGAAGAGAAGCCATCCAAGCACCATTGTGTTCTCTCAGCAGTTCCATTGAGGTATATCCCGTTTTTCCCCTGTTTCTATGCTTATTGCTTCATTTAAGACATTCTTGAGCCATTCCCCAAGCTTGTATGTGCTAAGTATTTCGTAATAAGCTGTTTGGCCCTTAGATCTAGGCATGATTGAGATCCAAGAGCTCAGATCTGTAGCCTTTATGGACCCTCACTGCATGAAGACCTTGGATCTACTATTTTGAGTGCATTTTGAACCCTAAAACCTGTATTGGTGAATATCTACACGTAAAGTTGGAAACTTTACGTGTGATTCATGTTCTAGGAGTCCAGATCTGTAAATGGCATGGACTGGAATCGAGCAAATCTGTGTATTTAGTGGTAGCATGGCAACGACTCGGCGAGTTGTTCATGTGACTCGGCGAGTCTGTTCGCAAGTCTCCGAGTCGTCCCCTTTTTGTAGTGTCGAGTGTGAGCAGTGAGTCACAGGGTGTGACTCGGTGAGTTGGAAGCTAAACTCACCCATGGAAGGACTCGGCGAATCATTTCCTGACTCGGTGAGTCCAAGGCAATCTTCATAGATCAAGAACAGACTCGGCGAGTTGTTCATACAACTCGGCGAGTCTCAGCATGAGTGTTCATCGGATGAAGATGAACTCGGCGAGTTGTTCATACAACTCGGCGAGTAGGATAAAGGGCTTGAGCCTCAAGTTTAGAAGGAGAACTCGTCGAGTCAACGCCCAACTCGACGAGTAGGGATGGGATTCAAGTCAGACGATTTGCTAGGGACTCGGTGAGTTGGCGAGCCAACTCGGCGAGTCGGGTAAGCTGAAAGTTGACTCTGACTTTGTCTTATGACATGATCAAGGGTAAAATGGTCATTTTACCCAAAGGACAATTAGTAGTAATTGATTGAGTATGTTGTGGGAATTGCAGCCGGAGGATTCCCGCAGCAGCAGCAGTATACAGTCAGTTCCCAATCAGATCAGCAGCTACTTTGAGGTGAGTTACCTTCCAGTAGCGGTGGGTCTACGGCCATAATGCCGGCCCACCAGTATGAGTTGTTGTTAGATGATCGTCTTTGTGATATCATCTTGGCTTGCTACTACCTGATATGTTATGTGCTAGCATGATCTATTTTATGTGATAGAATAGGGATCGGTTGTTAGGACCGAAGGGTAGTGCAGACACCCCGGAAATGTCTGACAGTGTATGATGATATGTTTGCATGCTGGCTTGTTATACTATATGCGATAGAGGTAGTAGTAGGGGACTAGTCCCCGAGGATCGGTTGTCAGGACCGACGGGTAGTCAGCACCCCAGAATGGCTTGACACGGGTAGGACGACACCCCAGAATGGCCGCACGGGTAGTCGGCGCCCCAGAATGGCCTTACCAGGTAGTCAGGCACCCCAGAATAGCCTGACAGTAATTGTGTTATGTGTTTGCATGGTATGTGGTAGGTTGGGGGAACTCA